CAACCATAACATTTTCATTGCTACTTTATAACTGTCATTTTGCTACTGTTAGGAATTGGGCGACCCCTGTGAAAGGGTCATTCAACCTCCAAAGGGGTCGGGACCCACAGGTTGAGAATTGCTGCTCTAGAATCGAGAGTCCAGATTCAATATCACAACCACTATTGTGTCTGAGTCCAACAATTACTTCCTCTTTTATCAGATTTTGAAAATTCTATCTATAGGGAGGATCTATAATCAGATTATGTGCTCGCTACATACCACAAAAGACACATCACCGTGTTTGTAAGAAATAATCCCCTTTCTAGGGCTCTCTGGTTAGCCTGGGTGCAAAGGTTTGACAACTCTAGTTGAAGCCACCCCGAAACCACTGTTGTCCAAAATACCGTTCCTGGCACATGGTCGTTAGCATGTAGTCTCTTCCTGGGTCCTCCCTCAGGAGCCAGGAGCCCTGGCGGTGCAGTGGTGATGAGCTGGGCTGAGATGTAAGTAGTTTCTATTCAACCCACCAGGGTTCCGTGGGAAAAAGATTGGGCGTGTCACTCCAGTAAACAGTCACCGTCTGGGAAACCCACAGGGGTCTCTCGGAGTCAGTATTGACCCCCCGAGTTCAGTGAGTTAGCACCTCAGAAATCAGAAATACACATTCTGACTGATCACACATGCCCAGTAATCTGAAAACATCTGCTAAAGCAGTGTTGATTGGGCTTACCTCATGTTCACCCGCTGCCTCTTTTCCGTTTCCCAGCTCACTTTGCAATCACCACCCCATTTAAAGAAGCCGGTGACATCTTGTTCCCCCCTCATAAACCCTGGGTATTTAAAAAATTATGAGGCTTTAGCAAATGAAGTCCTATGTAAGAGAAACTGTCATTCTCGTGCTTCTTATTCTAGAAGAGTTTCAGGAAGCATTGGCTGAACTGACTGAATGAGATTGAGAATGAGAGATACAGTCAGACAGAATTTATTTGACTGAATCATGTTCTAGATGCAGAATTAAATATCAACAGCTTCCTTGCAATCAGTGGCTTAAACATTCCCTCCTTTTGCATAAGAAACGGTACATGTGAGGGTGGTGGTGGAAGAGGACTGTGGTCTGGTTTGTTCTACTCTATACCTTACAGCATGGCATTCCTCCTGTTCAGCTTCCTTTTCCCCCTGCCATTAGTTTGTGCTGCTCAAAATTCCTTGATACAATCACAACAGAACAGTGTCATTTGTTTTTAAGCTTAGTCTTGTTCCTAAGGGAAAATTTGGTGCTGTGTGTTTTCCCAGGGAGATACTGTCCCAGGATACTTTTCCCAAAGGAGCACAGCTCTGATTCATGTTTTTTTTTTAACTTTTTTTTAATTGCTTTGGTTTTATTTCATTCCTACCCTTGATAGATGTTAATGCCACGAAGAAATAAACTCCAGAGGCCATAAAAGCACAGACTCCATGGCTGCGTTCACTGTTGACAATGATTGTCCTCATCAATGCTATTTGATGCTCTATTATTGCCCAGTCTGAAGCTTGTCCTTCATGATAGCTCTTAGTTCACAATAGAATTGCTTACTATGATGAGATTTGGGATAACTCCGCCCTTGCAGTGAGACAGACTTCTAGTAAGAGGATCTTCCTCCATCTGTCTAATTTTCTGTTTCTCCATCCCCCACTGTTATCAAGAATGCCTAAAAACAATTTTCTTCCTCCTACAGCTGTGTGGCTTACGTGAGAACTGTTATGCAAAGGAAAACCAGTCAGGGTTTGCTCTTGAGCACCCACTCCTCTTTCTGTTATCCACTCACAAGATGACCAATATAAGAGCCACCCAAACCCATGAACTTGCCTTTGGTCAGGGGGGAGATGACGCAGATTCTAGACTTTACCTTGGCGATATATGGTAAACATTTATTATTATTTTCTCACTGGGAATCTCTACCTAGCCTCATCAGACAGCACAGACGTGTTGCTATCATCGCAGATGACTGGAGCGTCTTGTAGTCCTTCGGCAGAATCCTGGGACTCTTGGGAAGGAGAGGGTCCCTGCTCTGCTTCTAGTTGCTGGATCTTCCTTTCCTTTTCCTCTAAAACTTCTTCCAGTTGTGTGATCTTCTCCGTCTGAAGGGAAACCTGGGTCGACAACTCCATAATCAGACCGAGTTTTCGATCACCTTCCTCCACAGGTGGGAGACCTCCTCTCGACTCTTCCAGGGAGTTGTCTTCTAAAGCAAACAAACAGAAATAAGAAAGGGGGAGCAATTTTTAAACAGCTTTCCCAGACTGGAAAGGGAGGAAGTATAAAAAAACAAAACAAAACTTGATTTCTCACGTTCTTAAAAGAGAGCCCAGAGGCTGCGTCATCTGGTCAACTACACTGAGAACGGAATCTGGGCCCAGTGGGGGAAAGTGTCTGGGTGCTCATGAAGAAGAACTGGAAGTCTCCGGAAAGAAAGGGACTTAGCCCTTGCCAACTCATTTTGCTACACATTTAATGTTCAGTTAACCCTGAGAATAAAGGGAAATGCCCATCTTTGAGAAGCCAATCTAAAAAGTCATCCTAAGTATCATGCTACCTCTTTCCCTAAGAATTTGTCACAAAACTGAAAATAGAAATATATTGCTTTGGACATGAATAGCCTTGTTACCAGACCGAGAGCTTGGTGATGCCAATTATGGCAGGTGAAGTGAGATTAAAATGTAATATCTTATCATGTGGTCTCTCTTTGGGCCCTTTATAAAGTTGTTTCAGTTCAAAAAAAGTGAAGGGGAAATACACGTGGATTAAGTCTCTGCTGAATCCCCTCTGACCGCAGACTATGGATGCAAATAGCCTTGATATCATGCAGAATGCAATTACTGACAGTAAAAATTATTACAGACAGTAAAAATTTAACTTTTTATCCCCGACATGATTGCTGAAGACAGACGTGTGCATAAGCAAACATGGTGAAGAAAGCTGATGGTGCCCGACTATCAAAAGATATAGCTTCTGGGGTCTTAAAGGCTTGAAGGCAAACAAGCGGCCATCTAGCTTGGAAGCAACAAAGCCCACAGAGAAGAAGCACATGAGCCTGTGTGAACA